CCCTGCGTAACATCAGGTGAACACCAGTGTCAGTGGGACCTGACAGCCTTTCATTCAGACACTCTCTGCCCAGCTGTATGGGCAGCCCCACCGACGGGGGAAAGGGGTAGTTGCCACAGGACCTGGCGATTCAAAGAGGCCCAGGGCTCAGCCACTGCAGCAGTGGTGCCTGGAGCTCCGGGCTGCATGCCCCGGGCAGAGCTGAGGGCTCTGTGGGGAGATGGTGTGTTGTGCCGCAGGGGGTGTGGAGGACTGGCTGCTCCAGCCCCGCCCATTCTGCCCAAGGCCCTGCCCCTTTTGGGAGTGCAGATCTCCCCCCTCCCACTTTGCCCAGGGGTGGGCAGAAGCTGTTGGCATCCCTGTGTGTGGGGAGGCACATTGCACTGCGGAGGATTTTCAGCTACATCAGGAATGTACCATGGTACCAGTTGCCCAGGTATCTGCTGCTTGTGCTTTAGGTCTCCTGCATGAACAGGCCTCTCCCTTCCATAGTGCCAAGCAGCTTACAGCTCCTGAGAGCACCAAAGAGCCGGCACCAGCAGAAACCTGGGGAAGGGGGGAGCCCAGTAACAGCGCCTGGGTCAGGAGAGGGGAGGCTCTCTCACAATGGCGAGGCTGGCAGGCGGCGCAGTGCACGGAACCGGGACGCTTGTTTCGCTGTGAAATGCTTCCTGATTTAGCTGCTGGTTCAGTGAGCTTGGAAGTGGATAGAACTGGCGCATGGTCCATCTCCGCTCCGGTTACGTCTTGGCCCGTTTTGTGGCGTCCTGGGAAGTGTCCCAGATTCCGTCTGGCTTTGGCTCCAAGTCTGCAAAACGTAAAGAAAACATGTGACGGGCGCTCAGCCCCTTGGTTTGCTCACCCAGCACCTCCCAGGCTTAGCCCAGCGCTTTGCCTTGAGACGGGTGCGACTAGACTAGTTTCCTTTCTGTGACAAATAAACTTTGCTTGTCAAGAGCCCTGGTGACTGGAAAGCACTGCTGGTTTGTTGGCTTGGCCGCCGGCTCTGGGGCGCGTACGCGGGGCAGGCTGCACCAGGCAGACGCAGACAGACATTACGGACGCAGCAGCAAAAGGGAAAATTAAGGCTGAGGCCTGGTCAGAGGGGCTGCAGTTGCAGTCTGGGCCCTGAGAAGCCAGCAGCCATGGGGCCCTCCAGCAGAGTGAGTCTCAAACACTCCCCTAGAGCTCCCACTGCCTGCAGCACTGGCCATCCGAAACCTGTGGCTAAATGGGGGATTGTTAAATGTGGGGCCACGGCGCCCCAGTACCTAGAGGGTGAGCGCTGGCTGGCTGGAGAGAGAGACCTCATCACCTGGCCTGGGGGAACCCGGCAAAAAGCACCTCTCCCTGCAGCTGGCTTGGCCTCCTTTGTCAGACTGGGTCAGCTCAGGGGGTCGCTCCAGCCCCAGAGCCAAGAGCAGCCCGTACCAGCTGCCTCAGCAGGAGATGCCCTACAGGGGGGAAATCTCTGGCCTGTTCAGCTGGGACAGGGAAGCCATCCTGCCACACTGGTTTGCAGCCAGCTGGTGGCTCCCCACGGCATTCTACACGGGAGCAGCCCAGAGACGACAGAGCCAAGCCGGGGCTCACGGAAAGGATCCAGGAAGGGGGGTTTTGCTGTAATGCACAAGGGGCACGTTTCCCACTTCCCCGCTCTCGGGGGCTGGCTCGTGCTAGTTCCTAGGAGTTGGCTAGCGGAGCGTTTGCGCTCTTTGGGGAATGCAGACGTAGAATGAAAAATCACTTTGATCGCCACATTCATCCGCTTCACTATACACCAGGGCACCGATTCTTAGATGCAAAAGTCGCTAGGGAGGCTTGCACGTCAGAAAACGCTGCCCACAGTGACACAGGTGGAGCGTGCCGGGGGAGGGGAAGGGATTTCACAGCTAGACCAGTGGCCGTGGAGCCTGGGCCAGCGCTCAGAACACAGGCACTGTCAATAGTGACAAAGCAATGACGGCCGCTGCACATTGGTTCTAATGGTGGGTAAGAGTCACTAGCAAAGTCCCAGGAGATATGGAAAATGAGTAATTTACAAGCTAAGGGAGGAGCAGGCAAAGGAATAAGGTGAAGGCAACACCCCCACTCGCTAACAAACCCAACCCCCCGCTCCCGTGCACAGGCGACTTGCATTCCCACGGATTGCCAAGGGCAAGTGACACCAGCTGACCACTTACCCTCTTTTGAAGTGTAACTTACCCCCGTTTCTATCCCCACCTCATTTAGCCCAGAGACTTCCAGGGAAGTCCTTGCCGCTTACTCCAGGTGGCAGCCGTCGGCTTGGGGCCGCACTGACAGCTCTCGTTTTGTGGCAGACGCTCATCAGACATACCCATTGTCCATTCACATCAGCATAGCCCGGGCATTACCTCCCCGAGAGAGCACCGCAACTCACGCTAGCTGAGGTGGAATATAGCCGCTCCCTGGAAGCAACCGCTAAATGATTATGCAGCCAGCCACTCCAAGGCAGTGAGGCCAGCATGATGTATCACAGCAGAGCTCTCCAGCTTCTGGTGGCTGCCAGCTCATTTCTGGACTGATTTCAATACCCTTGTCCCAATCTACCAGGCCAACAAGAGGGACAGACCTGGCGGCCCCACCGACCCTGATCCATCCGCAGGCTGACCAAGGCTCCTTCGCTTCTCAGGGGCACCGCACACTTAAGATCACCAGGTTCAGGGGTCACGGCGTTCTCAGCAGCAGATGCCTGGCTCACTTTACCAGCGGAGACCACACTGATCTGTAACTCAGCTCCTTGTGCAGTTCAGGTTGAGCCTCTAAAATCCGGTACTCTCTGCTCGGGTAACATCTGTGCTCTGGCAGGACCGTGGATATTGCTGGACCAGAGAACCCAGGCTGGCCACGTTCAGAAGTGCAGCCCATGCTGGGCTGGTGGTGGGGAGCCCAGCGCCAGCAGGGCCAGCGTGGTGGAGAGCAAAGCCCCAGCCAGGGCTGGAGGTGGGGGGGGGGGGTCAGTGGCCAGGAGCGCAGCAGGAGTGCAGTCCCGCCCAGGGCTGGAGTCAGCTGGGTGTGCAGCCTGGGCCAGCGCCAGAGGGAGGAGCAGCCCCTGCTGAGGCTGGAAGCAGTGGAGCTAGCCCTTGTCCAGGCTGGCGTGGTGGGGAATGCAGCCCCGGCCAGGCCTGGCACAGTGGGGGCTGGAGGCAGCAGGTGACTGGGAGCGCAACCCCGCCTGGGAGCAGAACCTACATCCGGGTAGGGAGCCTTGACCTCCTCTCGTTCGGTAAACTCTGTGGTTCGGGACCACTAAGGTCCCGAGGGTGCTGGATTAGGGAGGTCCGACCCATGGAGACCTGGGAGAAGAGAGAGTTCTGGGGTGGCGGTGGGGAGGTTATGCAGCAACTCCTGGCACCCTAGTGTTAGAGCAACTAAAAAGCCAAGAACTATCAGAGGACTAGCAGATGGGGGGTTCCACATTCCCCAAACCTGAACTGCCATCTCCTTCTCAAACCCCCAATACACCCAGGGCCTGTGACCCTCCTTACTAAGAGGTAGCCAAGCACTGAGCAGACTGATATTCCTAAACGACTGAAGCCTATATTCAGGGTTGGGAAGGCGGAGTTGAATTGCTAGAGTATACAAAGCCACTTACCACGTGACATCCATACCAAGCCAGTCCAAGTGAAAGCTGTTTCCATTTTACAGCTGTTCTGCATGCCGCACGCATGAAGGGGTCAGGCCAGCTCTTCGGCAGGCAGGAGTTCACATCCCACTTGGCACCCATCCCGGCGCTTTCACTGGAGACACAAAAGACTGAATGAACATTGAGTAGTTTGAGCTGTAACGTGCACTGCCACTGACGAGAATACAGGGTTAACGGGCAGTGGATTTTTAATTATTATTCAAAAGAAGCTGAAAAAGTTTCTGCTTTGCTTTCTCCCTCTTCTTTCAGACTTCAGTGACTGTCCTGTATGCTTTACACAAACCTGTTTTTAAAAAGTCTCACACGGTCCAGAGGAAGGGGTGGATCTAGTAAATCATCCTTAACAGGAAGTGGCTAGAATCTTCTCCGATGGGTAATTACAGAATTGCCCATTTCTTTGGTTGCTTTTGAATGTTGAGTTGAGGCCTTTCCCTCCCCCCCGGATGCTTTACATGAATTGTTGTTCTAATATGGGGGGGAGGGGGGTCCCTTCCAAGAATATAGTTCTATTCGACAGAAATGGCTAGTGATCCACTCTGATTATTGCAGCACTGAGACAGATTTAGGCCTCTCTCTATAGAATTCTAGAGGAACCCAAGCATTAAATTTCAACAGAGTGAACTTTTAATTCCTGAGTTATCGATCCTTAAAAAGAGACAGGCTGGAAAGCTGCAGAACGAAAAAAAGAAAAAAAAATCCCCAATATACCAGCCCTGCAACTTCTGAAGTTGTAGACCAGTGGTCCCCAACGTTTTGGGGCTGCCGGGCGCCTGGGGGCGGGGCCGCTCACGCGCTGCGCATACGGGGGCAGGGCCGCTCACAGGCCACATGACTGGGGGCAGGGTCAAGCATGCGCCGCACGCCCGAGGTTGGCACAGGCATGTGCTGCGATCCCGGGCAGGGGCTGCCCAGGTTCCGCGGGGGCGGGCACGCGCGGCGCCCCCGGGAGCGGGGGTCGGGGCCGGCCATGCGTCCGGGGCTGGCACCTGCCGCACGCCCAGGGGTGGGGCCTGCCCAGATTGCTCCGCGGGTGCACGTAAAGGGCCTGGGCCCGCAGGCACCGGGTTAGGGACCACAGTTGTAGACTATTAATAATGGATTCACTTTGGTTCTCACGCTAAGTGTATTTTCAGTGCTTCTCCATTCCTCCGCTAAGCTCCCATCCCAGGGCTATCACGTGCTCTTCAAATTACTGAAATGATTTCTTATAACTCTGCAGCAGACTGACAAACGTCTTTAACGTGATGCACAGCATTAATCTTTCACAAACTCAGCGTCAGACCAGTGAGATGTTCATCCTATCTTACATATGCAAAAGTGTACACTTATGGGATATATGTAAGGCATTTTTATTTTTAGAACATTTTTTAATGCCAAAAAATAACAGCCACTATTAATTTTCCACTTTAAATGCAATCTGCATACCATTGCAGACAAAGCATACAAAGATTGCCTACAGACATGGTTAGGTACACAGGTCATAAGACGTGCCAGTTAAAGATTACTGCTTTATTCTTACATTTGGGTCGGACTGACATAGCTTTCTGACATGTAATCATTTTAGCAAATAACCAGGCCATTAAACAAAGGCAAACACACATCTACACCACAACACACAAACTTATCAAAACTTAAAATGTGTACAATTTACTTTGACAAACAGAAACAGGCTTGTTTTCTAGTAAGCTAAGCAAAAAATTTGTCCAAAAGAACCCCTCTGCACACATAATTTACCTTGTTCTGAAAAAAATTACAGATGTTCTTAATAAAAAGGCACATTTGGCAGCTACTAAAACTGGCATGCATCTGGCACAGGACTTTCCCCCCCTCTTTCAACCTTTCAGTCACTTGGTGCATGACATCATGTGTGTTTATTATGGAGTCAAATGCGACTTTATCCTTAGTTCACTTGATTTACAATTTTGCAGCAACTGGCTACTTTAATGCACTGTTTTTCATTCAAGGCAAAAGAGAAATTTGCTCACAGTTGACAGAAAAATGCACTTTAAGGTTTTTTTAATGGAAAATAAGGCATGACATTTACAAAGCAAGCCAGAAGTGCTTTGGGCTTCATAAGAGTATTGGGCCACATTTTCCCCTCACCTAACAAAGCTAAAAAGACTGAAGCCCACATATTGAGCCCACGAAAGCTCATGATCCCATCTACATGTTTTGTTAGTCTATAAAGTGCTACCAGACTATTTCTTGTTTTTTAAGTTTATTGTTGAAATGACAATTCAACAGTTGAAATAGGGGTTTTAAAGAGAAAAATCTAAGAAGCTGCCCAACGTTTTTTTTCTGCTTTAAAAATGCATTTTTCAGCAAGATCCTTCCCGTTAGCTGAAAAAGGGTATGACGTTTGAGAGGGAAACCAAAGTGTGATTTTTTTACATGCCACAGGCCAACCACACTGATCACAACAACTAAGCATTAAGGAACATTGTTACAAAGACAGACATTCATGAATGATGGGCGGGAGGGGAGGGGGCTTTCCTGGTGGACTCTCACTGCTCAACGTCTAGGAACACAGAAGGAAGGCTGCTTATGCGAGTTGTGATGCAAGGATCACACATTACCCAGAGCAGAAAGAACTAGAATTTCTATTGCCAGGCATTAGCTCTGCTACAGGGACTGTGCAGTCTAAGCAGACTCATTCAAACAGCCCTATTGGTACAAGAGAGTCACTTCCCTCAATACAGTAAAATAGAACCATCTTTCAGAAGAACACGAAGAGCTTGATCCAAGGGCTGCTAATGTCAATGGAAAGACTCCCATTGATTTCAGTACGTTTTGGATCAGGCTCCCAACTGAGTAAAGGTGATACTGGAGTTTACCGGTAAGAAAAGCCTGATTTAAGATTCTGTCTGCGCAAAAGTAACAAACTATGCAATAGATCATTACAATAAATGAAAACTTGAGCAAGTAAAGGCATAAACGGATTCACGGAGGGGGCACTGAACTCGGTTTCTTTCTTAAAATGCAATGGTTAAGCAAGAATTTAGAAACAATGGCCAGAGAACATGTGAAGCAGTTTGCAGCTTATGGGTGCATGCCCAGTAATTTCATAGTATTTATTCTGAAGCAAAGGCAATAAATAATCTCTCCAAACAGACACTGGAGAATCGTGTTGGGGTTGTTGAAGGCCAGTAAGTGCTTGCCTGATAACCACGTCTTCAATAACTTTTCCTTGCACTTCATTATCAGTTTTAATTTAAGCGTTCAGTGTCTGAAACGCTAACATTTACAAACTACCAATAGAGAACTTTTCCTTTTAACTTCCAGTTTGCACTTCTGGGGTGGAGAAGAGGGGAGAAAGGTTGGATGTATCCTACACTACTGCACTACGCTCTATATCGGGCACACGTTAGGGACAGACTTCAAACATTGCACTTTGGTATCTCATTGCCCCGATCGTTAAAGGACTTCATTTCTCCCCATCTGCGTAAGCACCCAAGAGCTACAAACCAATACTCTGCAACAGTACAATACAGCTCAAACTTTTAATCTGAGCTCTGCAATAACACAGCAATCCATTTAGCCACAGTTGTTGGCTTAGGATGAAACATGCTCCATTATGCCACACTATTATTCAAGATCATTCAACAATCTGGCAAATATGAATAATAAAAATGATGCCATTTTCCCTGCCAGCATCCAGGGATATTTTCTTTGACACACTCCCCCACCCATAATCACTAACCAATGTGAACTTGTCCAAATGAGAAATTCTTCCATGTTGCAAAAAAGTTATTTCTTGAAAAAGGGGCAAATAAAATTGACAAGTTCTGAGAGGCCAGGAGCTCAGCAGCTGTGTTGAACATTCTCCCTCTTGACTTAGGGATTTGATTTCTGGTGCTGGTCATTCACACATGGTGTTAGAGGCAGCACTGTAGAGGTATGCGGTCCATTGGTAAGTGATGGATAATTGAGCAGCACTGCTGAGCTCCAAAGAAGTTTAATCTAGGCTTTTATGTCACCATAGAGTCTAATCAACTTCTCTACTTTCGTGGGTTTTTATCCTCAAAACCACTGTAAGGTACCAGTATTTTACAAATGGAGAGAAAATGAAGTGACTTGCCTTTGCAAGGCTGGGGTTGGGCCAGGAACTGAATGCAGGTCTGCATCATATCATTGCAGCACTCAATTCACTAGGCTATTCTACCTATCTAACCAACCTCGGCAAGGAAGGGTCATAGTTTTGAGTGTAAAGGACAGGTTGTGAGGGTTCTGCACATCTGACTAACACTGGAGAGCTTCCTGGCTTCCTTCTGGCAAGTCAGCAACTTCCAGACATTGCACCAACGGCATTCGTTATGCTGGGCTCGACTGGGACAACCGTGAACATCATTTACATTTCCTGTAGGACAGGGTTATATAAAGCACGTGTGTAAGAATGTCTTCCTCTGAAGAGGAGTTTATAAATCTTACCTAGAAAGGGGAAAAATACATGTTGGGAAAGAGGGAGCGGTAAAACATGTTTCAAAATAGAAATATTAAGGAAATACAAAAAGTTACAACTGAAACTCAATGTTTGGCTATGACAAAATATGCCGCTTAATGCTGATGAAATCAAAACACTTTCTGAAATGTAAAGACCAACTGTAGTATCATAGTGCGTATTCCACTCCGCTAATGGCATTGTAAAAAGTTACTAAAATTGTAGATTTCCGTCCCGAATCACTCTACTACAACTATCTCCGAGGGCATGGCTTTCTGGGTTACTGAAATGTATTTTGCTTTTATCCGAGAGGAAACATGATATAATTTTACTACGACCCATGAATCTTATTAAATAAAGATGAGATACTGCACAATTCACAAACATTATGATAGAGGAGATTAATAAAGCTTCTTTTCTTCAATAACTGGCATGCATTACTGTCACAGTATTGGTTAGAATCAGAAGAGTAGTACACAGGTTTATGGATAATCCATATCATGATATTTAGGCAGGTCAATGTTCTGTCATGTACATTTCTGACACTATTGTAAAGATTAATAGTTTTTAAGACAATGTTTGAAATTCTATAAAACTACATACATGTCTGGGAAATTTAAAAACATGTACTGTACTTCACTTTGAGAATAACCCAGCTTTATCATTCTAACTAAACTTTGTTTCATACGCTAAAACCTGATTTCTTTATTCCTAAAATACATATACTGAACTACAGAAAAGTGTACCACAATATGTGCTTTTATCCTCTTTTCAGTGTTAACTGAAAAACTGAATTGTACATTTGCTCATGTAATAATTTAACATGTCAGCCAAACAAATATGTGTATCTTTATTTCAATTAAATTAAAAACAATCTGCAAGCATATTTATGCAACATTCACTATATACATATGATTTATGCAAATGCAAGGCAATTCTACGTATGCTGATTAACCTATTGTTAGTAAAACATGACAATATCTATGGAAGATGGCCAGCGAGTGCTCCTTTTCACAAGTGACTGTGTTTTCATGGCATGATTAAAGAATAGCTACAAGCCATGAAATGGATTATCGGTAAACCTTAAAAAGAATGTGATATAACCTAGCATAGATTAACAGTCTTCTAAATGTAGTAGAATATTTCAGACAATAGTGCTGTTTTTTTAAAAAATTTGCTGTCATTTTAATGATATAAGACTTAATGACATTACCCATTATCAGGGCTCGACAAACCACAGCGAGATCTACTTGCCAGCCTCGCACCGTGCATGCGCCAGACCAGCACTGCGCATGCACGCAGCGCCAGTGAACGGGGCGAACGAAGCGACCGGCTGAAATCTATTCGCCACGGGCGAGTAGAAACAGCGATTTGTCGAGCCCTACCCATTATGCTTTCTGGCAATAATTTCTTTCTACTGGCACTGTAATATTTATTAAAATAATAATAAAGTACCTCTTTGGTGAAGCCTAGGTACCCATACTATTCACTGTAACAATTTGTAAACAGGACCGCAATACAGTGCTCTGCCTTAGTTCTAACATGGTTAGGTACCACAGATCTTCCTCTCAGTCCTTTTCATGATTTTAGGAAAGCATTTTAAAGCAGGGAGTAAAGCAAAAGGAAATTAAGGAGGATATAAAGTTCCCTGTTTGAGATTTTTAAAAAAGTGCATAATGTTTTCATTCTAAGAACTGTGTTACTGTATAGGACTGATGGATACAAGATTTATGGTTTCCATTACCGTACTCGACATGAGAGATCATTACACAAAACACGGTCTCTGCTTATTGGCCAGAAAAGTCCCTTGAGCCAGTTTTCTGGTACAATCAGTTGTCCAATGACTTGAGAACAGCATCCTGCATACCACCATAGGAATAGTGAGTTTATCAGTTGATCACGTCTGCTTTTGCAGTTCAGTTTCTGTACACTGCTTTCCAAACTAGCATAGTTTTTAATGCATGGAGCATACATCCAAACTCCTGGGTGCCAGCAGGTTCAGTGCATCTATTGCCAGCAACAGAGTGCCCAGAAAATGCAACTCCCAGCACAAGATACAGTTCAGGAGGAGTGGGCATTCTCCAGCAAGGGGGGTCCGTCTCGGTGCATCGACGGGTGGGTATGCTCCCGTTTGTAAGTTTTTGGAGGAAGCTTTGGGATATGCTGAGAAGTGCTTTGCCGTGGAGGGACAGGTGGGCCCTCAACAGAATGGAGATCCACGTCCTGCGGTATCAAAGGAGGGGATGGCAGATGCCTCCGTGCTACATGTGGAGAAGGTATCTGAGGGGGTGGTGGAGTAAATGGAGAGGGACTGTTTGGAAAAAAGGTGTTGCCAAGTTCACTTTTTCTACCTAAGGGCGGTGGCTGGAGATGTAGTGGTGAACTAGAGAAAACATCAGGAGTTCGCACAGGTTCTCGTGGTGGTAATAAAGGGGGGCTTTCAGGAGGCTCAGATATGGAGGTCCGGTCTGGCACAGAGTATCTTGGTGAATAGACTTTCGATGTTGGTTGTCGAGGAGGAATTGCTGGTGGACTGTCCAGATGCGCAGAAGCAATCTGAAGTATACAAACATTAATTCCAACAGTTATCATCTGTATTACGACAGCCACAATGCCTCAATCAGGATCAGGCCCTGCTTGTGGTACATGTGATATGTATATGTTCAAAGATTTGGTCCCTGCCTCAAAACACTTAACGTCCAATTAAAGACAAGACACGGCCAACAAGTGATAAGCAATAGCAGGGGGAAGTGGAGGGGGACCGGGATGGAGAGAGAATGAAGGTACAGGGGGTGGGGGACAGGAGAGGAAGAAGGAGGCTGCAGGAGGCACAGTTTCTAAGATAATACCAGCTCAGCTGGCTGACAGGGAGTTGGGGCACATCTTGTAGCAAGAGGCCTGGGAGGACTAAAATCAAAAGGCATTTCTCCTTTAGAGCATAAGGGGGAAGAGAGAGGCTCATAGTGTTTAATAGCAAAGGGAATAAATGATGTCCTGCATCCTGAAGAAAGAACAAAGGGTGGGATCTTCAAAATTACCTACATGACTCAGTAGCATGAGTCCCACGGAGGCCAATGAAACTACAGCGTACTGTAGGCCATTGTCCGCTAAGAGCACTGTGCTTACTACATGACAAAATCAGAAAAGCTAAGGAACAAAGTAAGTTCCACCTGGAAAGTGACATAAAAGGCAATGAGAAGAAATTCTTTACATATATTAGGAGCAGGAGAAAAAGAAAGGAAAATGCAGGTCCTCTACTTAGCAGAAGAGAAAAACTAAGAACTGATGGTATCAAGAAGGCTGAAGGGTTTTATGCCTATTTTGCTTCAAGTCTTTATGAAAAAGATTAATGGTGACTGATATTCAACACAAAACAGACAACCAGGGAAAAGAATGAAAGTCAAAATACGGAAAGAACAGTTTAGATAAACGTCCTAGGTTATCTGTTCCCCGACAGCTCTTCCTAACATCCAACCTAAACCTCCTCTGCTGCAATTTAAGCTCATTGCTTCTTGCCCTGTCCTGAGTGGTTAAGGAGAACAATTTATTAACCCTCCTCTATCACGAACTTTTATGTATCTGAAGACTTATGTCCAGCTCTTTTCTCCTCTCCAAACAAAACAAGCCCAATTTTTTTTCAATCTTGCCTCACAGGTCATGCTTTCTAGACCTTTAATCATTTTTGTTGTTCTCTGTATTTTCTCCACTTTGTCCACATATTTCCTGAAATGTGGTGCCCACAACTGGGCACAATTCTCCAGTTTAGGTCTTATCAGTGCCAAATAAAGTGGAAGAATTACACCTCAGCTACGTCTAGACTGGCATGATTTTCCGGAAATGCTTTCAAGGAAAAGTTTTCTGTTAAAAGCATTTTCGGAAAAGAGCATCTAGATTAGCACGGACGCTTTTCCGCAAAAGCACTTTTTGCAGAAAAGTGTCCGTGGCCAACCTAGATGTGCTTTGGCGCAAAAAAGCCCTGATCGCCATTTTTGCGATCGGGGCTTTTTTGCGGAAAACAAATCTGTTAGCTTTTTTCACAACATTATTACACTTTTGACCACTATCACACCCAGATCCTTTTCCTCAATACTCCTTCTGAGGTACAGGCAGTCCCTGAGTTACGCGGATCCGACTTATGTCGGATTCGCAGTTACGAACGGGGCTTTTCTCGCCCTGGAGGACGGAAGCAGCGGGACGCCCAGATGCGCCGCGGTCTGCCGCCCCCGTCCTCCGGGGCGAGAAAAGCTGCTCCCCGTCTCCCTGATCTGCAGGGAGACGGGGAGCAAGGCCTTGGAGCACGCCCGCAGCGGGACAGCCCGGGCGCGCTTGAGCTGTTCCCCTGCGGGCGTGCTCCAAGGCTTTGCTCCCCGTCTCCTGACCAGCAGACCAGGGAGATGGGGAGCAAAGCCTCGGAGCCACTCAC